GCTCTGTTGATTAGAGGCCTGCCTCTACTTCACCTATCCTTGGCGGGATGGGCAAAGTCGCGTCAGGCGCTCGCTATTTGCTCCCGAGTGGAATGACCTGCGGCCGGTGGAAGCGGCCTCGCTAAAGGTCAGGTGACGTCAGAGGACAGGACGGGCGTGCTGGTCATTACGATACGCTAAGCTTTCGCCGCAAAATGTTGTTGCTGACCTGCATTGTCATGATCGGATGATGAAGCAGGAGCCCGTGCTTCAGCCACTGCTCAGCGTGGGCTCTAATTCCAGAAATTCATCCAATAAAAAGATTGGGAAACGTTTTTGTTTTAGATTTGACCGAGAAGCTGGTCACTATAGGATCGCGCAATGGGATCCCGCAGATGGGAAAACATCGGCCGAAACCAGCGATTCTGACGCAATGGGAGGAACTGGCACGAAAACAACGGCAGAAAGTCGGTCATGCAGGCTAGTTGATGAAATGAATAAAAAAGTCTGAGGGATCTGATTAGTTCGGATTCCTGGGTTCCTAGGGCTAAGGAATGATGAAATCCTCGCTTCTGTCATCGGAGAATGGGGCCTTGATTCCCAGTGACCCGCAAATATGTGACAATACTGCCGCCAAAGACCCTGTCAGCCACTCGCTGCAGCTCTGTTAATCAAAACAGTGAAGCATTCTATGGGCTTGCAATAAATTAGCTATGCCCCTTTCACCCGGCTGAGGACGTTTCCAAATATGCTTAGTGGTTTGGCATGAACAGAACAAATAAATGACTTTGTCATCTGCGCATTTCAAACTATCGTGGTAAGCGAACACACTAAATGAAAACTACATCATAAGCGTGAAAGTTCCTTTGGGAGCCTGGCAATGGAGCAGTAGCTGGGTATTTTGGGACCGGGCGCTCTCATTGAAATTCGGCAGGGTATTCGTAACCTGCCCGCGTCCCGGCATCTCTTTGCTTCTTGAGCACAGTGATATTGTAGGAGGTGAAATGTAAAACAAGTATTCAACGGTTTTAGTAAGATGTTAAAGTGATGCCATTAAAATGCGATTTAAAATTGCGCTACGGGTGCAGTTTAGCCCGTTTCCTCAGAATTACCTTTTCCACCCGCAATATGGTTCCAGCACCTTTTGGCGTCTCCTTATCACGTCTGATTCGATAATCTCTTTCAATGAATATTCCACTCTTAACCAAAAGCTTGTCTTACGGTTACCTAGTACGCATCAATTTATTTCCCCTATAGCTATGCGATCAAATCAGTGGAGCTAACCACATTTGAACACAAAATATATGAAAATTGTGCACACGAGGAAATAGATGGGAAATACAGCCTATGTCAAGAATCGCGATGAACAGAGCTGAGGGCATTAGAAGATAAGATACGAACATGTGCGTATGCGACGCTCGTGTATATGCAAATGCTTACCAGTGAATATATGCGAAACACAGATGTGCATGTGGCAAAGGTTAGTAATTGACGGTGTAATTGACCGCACTACTCCATTCGCTGTAATGCAGCTTTCCGACTCGGTCTATATTGGGGCTGTGATTGGTCTCGCGTGACACCGAGGCTCGCTGGCGTTGGCAGCCTGCTGACGAGGTGAGCCGGCTGGCCAGCCTGAAGCAGCACCGGCGCCGGTGGCTGCGGCCGGGCTTAGTTTGTGGTTTATGCTCGAACCAACATAGGTTTGTTATTCAGGTGGAGTCAAAAGATTGAATTACAACGTATGGATGATTAATAAAAGCTTATTATCTATTTGTCGCTTAATTTTATGTGGGTTTCTCTCTACAAACTTAAGGCTAGCTTTAAAACTGTTAGTCGCTGTTTTTTTTAAGTTCAGTTTAACCTGGCCAAACCTTAAGCTTTATGCCCAAAAGACGACAGGTCAGACATGGGGCTTCACGCTAATGCTATAGCTTTGATACAGTTTAAAAGCCAAATCTTTACTGGCGATTCCCTTTAGCATCTCGCTTACCTAGATCGAGTGGAATAAATGTTATGGCATGCGTTATGATGTATCTGTATGTCGTTAGGCGGAAGTTGATGGCATGGCTCGTCCTGGGCCCGGTCGTGTAAGATCAAGTGACTCGTCCTGGGCCCGGTCGTGTAAGATCAAGTGACTCGTCCTGGGTACGGCCGTGTAAGATCAAATAGCTCGTCTTGGGCATGGCCGCGTGAGATCACATGGCTCGTCCTGGGCATGACCGTGTAAGATCATACGACTCGCCCTGTGCATGGCCGTGTAAGATCAAATGGCTCGTCCTGGGCATCGTCGGCATTAGGGCTTTACGACCCACTCAGCTGCTCAAGCTATATGGAGTCGCCTGCCTCTCACCCTGGCAGGATGGGCGGGCACCACGGGGAATCGAACCCCGTATCTCTGGTCTCCCAGACGTGCAGTGCTTAATGCAGGTGCGTTAACCACTACGCCATCAACGCCGCCTCGTCTTGGGCATGGCCGTCAATGATACCATGGCTCATCCTGGGCATGGTCGTGTTGGGCTTACGGATATTGCGAGGGCGACGTGAACGTCTCTTCTATCATCGGCCGAAAAGCCTTGAGTAGTTGATCCCTTGGGCATACGGCTGGTAACATGGATTCCGAGGTATTGATGATATGTGTGTGTAACAAATGCTAGATGCCCTCTGCTTTTTGCCATGCGGACATCCCTGTAAAAATGCGTGGACAGGATGGCACGTCTAATGGCATTTTGTGAGGGTACTTGGCGCTCCCACACAAAGTGGCCTGTACAAATAGTAATGACAAAATATTGGTGTAGCATTTCAATCAAGTTCATTTTCAGAGTAATTATGATCGCTTGACTATCGCTTGCTGCTGCTCGCTGTGCTCACGGCCAATGGCCCAACATGCCCTCAGTTTGTCAGTTGTAATGAAAATGATCTGTTTGTTCTTTGATATAAGTAATGAAAAGCAGCTTCACGTTTTGCTGAAGCCAAGAACGACTTCCTTGGAATCAACGTTCATTGAATGCATAGGTGTATCGAACCACCGGCTGGCCTCAAACAGAAGCTTTTGCGTGGATGTTGATAATGCTTATGCGTTGTTGCATCTTGCCAGGTTTAAGGAGAGGGTAGGCAATGCTTGTAATTTGTGCTACATGGTACATGGAGGTCATGTGGAAAGAATCGGCAATACCTTGATGTAGCTCCAATGTTCTTGAAAGATTTTCGCCTTTAATGCAATGTCATTAACTGAAGTTCCCGTTACACTCACAGTATTAATTCCCCACGTCACTCGATCTGCTGCCTGTTCAATTTTGTTTTCAAGAGCTTGCCCGTGTGTCCGCTGACCCAACCAGGGCATCACCAACACCACCAATTGATAAGCACGGGCACGGCTGGGCGCCCCCCAGTCTCGACTGCCCGACCGCTATGACGGGTCCTCTCCGCGAGGGGCCCCCTGCCCAGGCTGGGGTCGGCTTGCGGCTCCCGACACATCACTACCAGGCTGGCGTCGGCCCCCACCTCCTGACACCATGCCACCCGCCGCTCTTGGCCTCGGGGGAAAAATGGTGCTGTCTCGCCGCAGCAGCACTGACACAATTTGCTTTCAACGCCGCAGGGCCCATATGCTGATTAAAACATAACGAGTGCGCCAAATTGTGTCTACTTCTAAATCGGAGAACATAAATTAAATTGTTTGCAAGGGCCGAAGGCACCATTCACAATCGGCAATGTCATAGGAAGCGCAAATGTGCTTGTTTGGACGTGTAATTAGGTGGTGGAGAGTGGGGCGAGTTACATCATGTCTAAGCAATATCAGGACTATTTATCCCAACTCCATGCGACGCATAGCAGCTTTACGCTATTAGCTGACGCGCAGCAGCCCACTCCACCTGTCTGTGTACTTTCTGCCGCACGCGCGCCGGCCAGGGCCGCCGCACCTTGGTGTAAGCGCAAACAAAATTCTTTTTTTGCACAACGACGAAACTTTAGTGATCGGTGTAAGTGTGTGTTAATGGGCTTTCGGTATAACTAGACAAATATGGATGCTATGCGGAGTGTTGGGGAAATACATGTCTCGTACATATTGCAAAGCGTTTAGGATCTGCCAGCCAGTGGTTTCAGGGTGGTGCGAATTTTCTTCCGAGATATTCGATGATGCATGTTTTGAAAGCTGTGCGTGGGGCATGCTGTAAAATTGATACAATGTACCGACAGTATGCAATTGACTGACTTACTGTCAACCAATGACTGACATGAATGCCATGACTTATTGACATCTAGACAAGTCGACAGTTATACCACCTGTGTAAGTCCATAATTCCACCCGAGCAGCCGAAGCCGAGGTGGCAGTACTCATGAAATAAAGAATGCCTGAAAAAAGGACAAACATTTGTCATATCGCAATCACGACGAATCACAAAATAGCGCAGACGGGCGCACTTGGTCTACACATCGTAAGGCATTTGGCTTGCTTGCGATGCAACTTTCTCGGTGATAAAAACACACAAGTACAGCTTTTCCACTATGTAATACAACTCACCCCGGTTTGGAGCGGGTTGCCTGATTTATAAGGGGGTCACACCTAAGTCATTTACCAGAGAAAAAACAGGACGTGTTCTCCAAAACTTTGCCGCTGCACACGAAGCTGAAGGATATAGCTGACTGCAGTTTTAGTGATTTTAGAGCCCTATCCTTAGAAGTTTCAGCAGGAGGAAGCTCAGGGTAAAAACCGATATAACTCTACGTACTCTCCCCTACATCGCAGATGGCCAGCTTTTACGATGACGTAGGATTGCCGGACCTTGCTGGCTCTGTGCAATTAAAAACCGACTTCTAGCATTGCGGGTACACTCAGCGATCCAGTCATCACCCATTTTATTCAGCGTGCTCACTTCCAGCGGGATTTCAGATCATTTGAACCGATGTTCGCCACTGGTTGCCGGGCGGCGCGCGCCCGCCTCCCGGCCCCGCGCCACATCCGGGAACTTGAGTCACGTGACCGACGCCGCGGCACGGCCGGCGCAGTGTGAGGGCCCGTGTGTTGGTGCGGCGGGTGGCCGTCGGCTCTTAGGAGAAATCAAGATCAAGACGCAAAAAGCCTGTCCTCGACCCGAAACCGAGTGTCATCACCGAGCGCAATGTCCAAGGTATGTTACTGTGGTCTTTGCATGCTTCAGCCTGCTCTTGTTGCGCCGTAATTTGCTTTCTCTAGGCGCGCGTTTTATCAGCAGCAGACTACGACAAGATGGCGGCGGCACGAGTCGAGGAGTACGCTCGGTCTGGCGGTCGGAGCCTGGGAGCGGGGCATCCCGTAACACATTTGGGGCTGGTTTTTAAAATGTGAGCAGCGAAGAGTTACGCAGCAGTCGGAGGGCTTCCAAACGCCTTATTGGGCTTCCTGTCAAGTGATGAATCGGGCCCTTTCTGTTCTACTTTGGGTGCAACGAAGCGCGATCGTGTACCTCGTCTCGATTATCGTCCTTATCTCGCCGTCACTGGTTTCTGAGCTAGCGTTAAGAGATGGAGCATAAAGAAGTGTACACATACCGTTCTTCACAAGGAGCCAGCTGCAGGTGGAATGATTACTCATCGGGTTCAGCGCGTAGCAACTTTGTTCTTATGGCGATTCTGTTCAACGGATTTTGCCCGGTAATGTCCGCGAAGCTTGGCTAGTTCAGTGGTATCCTCGCATTGATGAACGTTGGGAGGTGTTCCGTCCTCCTGAACCACCCAAAAATTGTACCCGACCTGTACCTAAATGCAGGTTTTCTCGCGTCTGGAGAAAAGTGCACAAGCGTTGCTACTCCCAGGTTGGTGGCTCTCCATTCTGGCGACACCTGGACGAACGTCAGTTTAGCTTGTGAAGATCTTCAATCCGGTCGATCTGGTTGACAAGTGGCTTAGTCGTCCCGTCAGGAATAGTTATTTGGTATCATGAAACATTAACGCCAGTTGCGACGGCGGTCTTTTCGTTGGCCTCAGATGCGATGACGCTGTAATATACTCGGCGTACGTGCTTGGCGGGGTACTTCACCGTGAGTGCCCAAGGGCGTCAATGCGGAACGAGCGAAGAATCAAGAGGAGTAACCAAAAGAGTGATAGAGCAGTGACAACATGATTATTACCATGTAGCCTCTGAACAACTTCGAACAGGTGTTCAGTGGAACGCAGCCATTTGGAGAGGTTGGACTTCGCAAACACCTCCTCGATGATAAGCTTCATATAGCGGTTGTATCTGGGCAAACTTTTCGTCCGGACGTGAAGCACCCAATGAAGCACATTTAATGCACATCACAAAGCACCTCCTCATGCTCAGACCCTGGAGGCGATTAAATATTGAATCGCCAGAGCCATTATCGCCAATCGCCAGTAGGCGAGAGCTTTCATTTCAATTTGCTACCCATTTCAAACATGGGGTGGTGTCTGAGCCTGGAGACTTCCAAATGCCGCACAGGGATCAAAATCTTGCGACTTGCCGGATGACGAGGAACCAGGATCTCACTGCGCTAGTTTCACCAATCTCGTTTATACATTGCTCGGCTCCAAACGTCCGTGGTCGAAAGAGATAAATCGTCATTTTTTTGCGCTTTCGCGACCAACGGCTTTTGCGCCGTTGGCTGCTCCATTTCGAATGCTGAGCTGTTTATCTATATGATGACGAAGACACATGATTGATCAGAATGGTTGCATTTCCCGAGGTCACAGCGTCGGCTAACTTTTTGTTTGATGCGTAACCAAGCACGTTTACAGCTTCACAGTTCTACACCGAGCACGAATCCATTGCAACGTCGCCTACTGATGCAAAGTACACAAATTAAGATTTCCCTCTGTTTTGTTTTTTGACATTTTGTTTTTCTGGAACAATCCCTAAACTGCACTTATTATATTATGATTGCGGCCTCCGTCAATGTCTTCAGATGCCCAGAGCCGAGACTTTTGGCGTTGTCAATATCACAGCCCAATATAATAAATCATACGTTTTTTAATCATTTTCAGCTTTCACCAGCGCAACCACATGCTGGGGCCGAGAACTTACACGAGTTACATCTCATGCGGGCAGTTCTCACGCAGAATAAACGCGCTCTTCTGCAAAATTCACTTCTGCAGCTCCACATTTCACTGATGACATGTTGCTTCAGGCCCCCACCAAACAAATGTACTGTGTCAAGTAATCAAATGGCCAGCCCTGGCGTAGAGTAAACGCGTGCTGCGACTGGATTCATTCACTTTTTTACTACTCCACATTTCGAGGATGGTATGTCGCTTCATTCCCCGACAGACACAAATATATTATGCCAATACGGATGACTACTCTCTTCATAATGCATTGACCCAATCTGTTTAAAGGAAGGAAATATGCCAGCCTTTTAGTGAAATAGTTATTCTGAAAATGGGACTGACGAGGTAAACGGCAAATTATGTTGTCGTCTTCTTTTTACCGGAAGATTTATCTGTGTGCTTTCGGTTTGAATTAGGCATGTTTCGGTGCATTTTGCTGTACCCTCAACGGAGTCAATATGAAAAACAAACAGTGCCCTTTTCCTGTTCATCCCGTGGATCGTACAAAATGTCTTGAAGCATTATATTTTTATAACTGCTCAAAATGCGCCGAATAATTTTCAGGTTATAACAGGAGGATGATTATGTGCCAGTATTAAAAATGGCAGCAGTTAAATCTCACGAAATAGGTGTTCCACTATGGCGACACCTCTCGAAAGACCTTTCCATGCCACTCAAAAGCCTTCTGCATCATTGGAGTTAAAGAGACCAGGCATTTTTCATGAAGTGAATAAGGCCCGCAGAAACGATGAGGATTGTATCAGTTAGACCCTACACCCTCATTGTTACTTTCGACTCATCTGGTCCATGCCGCGTTAATAAAACTCGCTTAAATGTGAGCAATGTGGAAGATATCAAGATTTAGAAACAAGCCACGCATCGGTTGGTGACACAGTTTGACTAGTCCAGGCAACGCCAATCAAGAAGGCTGTCAGTGCATGTTGTTTACTTTGAATCCCACCATTGGTCATTGTGCTGCAGACTTCCCAAAAGGGTAAGCTAAAAAGGCTTTCTGAAGAGATCTGGGTTCTTCCACCCGAACTACTATCTACTTTTAGACGAGGCTGCAGATATCCCACTGGCGGCGTGTACGGCGCATATGGTCGGCGCGTAGCAGCATCTGTGGCGCAGTTTCCAATTTGGCATTTGGTGGCGCACATGACGCCCCGTCTGCCGGCGACACACGTGGCGGCGCACGTGGCGGCGGATAACGGAGCGGGCTGGAGGCAGCGGTGGGCTAGCGGTGAACGTCACGGAGCGGTGGGCCGCGGCCGGCTGGTGCAGCAGAACCAGCACTACCGGCACCGCCCGGCAGTGCCGCTTCGTCGGGTAGCTGTCGGGTAACGAAGACAGTGTGTGATCTGTCAGTGCTTTCTCTGGGTGTTGATGATATTGTGCGAGCTGACGATAGCGCTCGGTTGCCGCTGCTGCTGCTAACACGTTGACAGCGCCCCTTGACCTGCCACTCCCATCCCGTGGTGAAGCTGGACTGCTCGGCATGTCAGTAGCTTCTTCTGCCAGGGAGTTCAACGACCGCACGACGCCACGTCCTCGGGTATTCCCACACTTTCACCGACCATGTTCCACAGGCGACATGGCGCTTCTCTAACGTGATCAGAGGACACGGCCAATTGACGCAATATGTTCAGATTTGGCCGTAGAATAACAGCAGAGTCAGACAAACTAGAGACAGACTCAGATGCGGCCAGTCAGTCACAAAACCACGCCCGCGGCCAGCACGCTACGGGCAACACTAGCGGATTCAAAGGGAGTGTCCCACGTTAGTACACTCCCTTTTTGGTTTTGGGGTTTTGGGTTTGGGGGTTTTGGACTGTAATAGCCATCTTGAAGATCATTCGGCGCGGCTCATAGTCCCGTCCTTAATATCTAAAGCCTTCTAGCTTCTGAGCTACACGCCTGCGAAGATGTGCAGATTATTTCAGGGAGACTTTTCCAAGGCCATCAAGGCATTCATGACGCCATCTTATGGCGTCATCCAAATCATTTTATGCCATCAACCATGTGATCAATGACAAGACGAATACCATTGTCGAGTCGTTCATATCTGGCGTTCGTGAGATCTTGGGAACCAGATATGACGGCCGTTAATTGGCTCTCAGTCAGATTTGTGCAAGGTACGATGACGTAATCAAACAATCATGCATTGAGGAGCATATGTACTAAACGGTGAAATTGTGTGGTCTCGAACACTCTTTTCCCCTTAAAAGCATACTCATAGTTATAAGCGAGCTTATTTCGTCATGTCTGATGTTTGCCGATGAAATTGTGTTGTCTCGAACACTCTTTTCCCCTTAAAAGCATACTCATAGTTATAAGCGAGCATATTTCATCATATATGATGCTTGCTTAACTTTCTTGAAATGTGGAACATTCCCTTCAACTAGCAGCACACATTGCATTCAGGCCGCCATGCCAACGGCGTGCGCAAGCGGCCGGCGCACGCACACCACCTTTAACTGACCCGCGCTCACGCAGGCAGGCATCTCGAAGATGCCCTCGGACGGCGCCAGGACGAGGGTCACCGTTGCCCAGCTGGCTCCCCATCTGGTGTGCACCCTTTGCGGCGGTTACTACGTCGACGCTACCACCATTGCCGAGTGTCTGCACACGTGTAAGTTTGGGGAGAAGAGGCGCTACCCTGTTCGAACCAGATGTTGCTCATTGCTACACCGACCACCCGCATGACAGCATTTATGTGAAGGTTGCAGACATCTAATAGGCAGTTGTGTGCGCCCAAACACTTCATCCCTGTCCTCAGATAAATTAATGTGATGGACACGTGAGATACACACTCGGGACTACACTGATCACCAGCAGGCCCGCACTAATGTGGCACGTTATGTGCCATTAATGGGCGGTGGTGGTTGCCCTGACGTTTGATCGCTATCATATGAGAACATGGACCACTGCAAGCTGCCATGCACACATGGCCAAGCACACATATTATCTGTAATAAGGCAGAAAAACTATGCTTGATTTTTTTTCTGTGCTCACATTAGGAGCGATGCCGCAGGGTGGCATCCCGCATACCGCGTCCCCAGTAGTCTTAAACTGAACTTAGCGTCCGTAAAGTTGCGTCGAAAATGGGCCCAAAAAGTTTTCTATGCAGAAGCCGAGTTCCACAAATTCGGTAAGGGCGGGAGCGAGCACGTAATCCAAGCATGGGCGGCGTAACCGCTGTTAGGGCCGGTGGGGTCCAGATCCCAGCAACTTGAGCGGATTGGACCATTTTTGTGTTTTGGTTATATGTGATGGCACCAAAACAGAACTGGACGCTAGAAACGTTCAAGCATGGTTACATTCGCGCACCCAGAGGCTGATTTCTGCCAGATTTGGGTCACTTTTAGTTGCCATTTGGAAAGGACTGAAATACCAGCATTGTGTTTTATTTTGGTGTTTATATTGGGTTTTGTTAGCTGTGAGTTACACGGGAAAAGAGCGGCTAAATCGGCATCCATTGTCTTACACAAGGCATAGTCATATTCCACATTGTTCCATTTGTGCCCAGATTTCTTGCATTTTTGATAGGCATGCCTGAGGCTGCAAGCGAGTCATGTCCAGTTGAGTGCTCGGCCGCCAATGTGGAGGAAGGAGAGGGGAGCTCAGCGCTATGGGTTCGGGAGATCATCTACAGGCTGCGAGGCTCGAACCCAGTTGACTGAATATGAACCTGCGGCCCTATTTCTGTGCCCTACAGTCCTCCCTTGCCAACTCGTAATTTGCATCCGGGGCCAGTGCCCCCATACGTGACACCGTTAGCCAGATTTTTTGTGCATTCGGTGCATTGTGCGGCATAACACAGCCTTGCGGAATGACGCGGCCCATTTCAGTTTGTCGTTCGTGTATTCTGCGCCACCTGCGGACCACTAGGTGCTGTCCAGCGGCGACCTGCGACGTGCTGATTCACAGGACCAAGGGCGCAACCAGCCTGAGGTGAGCCTGCCGTCACCGGCGTGCTGCGGTCAACGCTCGGTCTGTCGAACGGAGGCACGGCGGGGAAGGGGCGATGGTCAGTAGTCGCTGGCGTTCGTCGGCTACACACTGACGCGATCGACTTTCACCAGCGTTCGTAGGTGGTTCACGTCGGTCCGCCCCACTTAATCCAGGGGTTCTGTGGTATATGTAGATCCATCAACTTAAAAGTGGTCGATCAATCGCGAAGCATTCTCGGGATTTTTGTGGCCAGCTTTTTGAGCTGGCCATGCAGAGTAAAAACAATGCCGCTAAAATGAGGGTTGTTACCCGATTCATGCGTCCGCCAATACCGATGTGGTGGGCATCGTGTGGGAATGTGGCGCTGCCCGATCCTGCCGTAAGTGTGGTGTTTACTGAACAGGGTCGTTGCGACATGACCGTATCACTACGTCTCCACCCCCCCATTCTGGTCGGTCTATCGAACGAAGGCCTTTTCCGCTTCAGGCCTGACACGACCCTTCAGAGCATCGTGTACAAAACCGTGCCTGGGCTCTACCGAGATGAGATGAGACGACGGCGGCAGTTCTACCTGGATAAACTCGACGCCGGTGGGCATCATGGCTGATATGCTGTCAGCACCAGATTTAAAGGCATACCACCATCGCTGCTGGCTGCAGCTAGATACTTCGCCTTTATCGTGATACGCATTTTTTTTACAATGATTTAAGGAAGTTTTAGCTTTCTAATTGGCCAAATTGGTTAAACCGGTGGTATTGCACGGGTCTCTATCTTTGCCCTCTTCATTGTCAGCCGTGTAGGCGTCTCTTAATGGAACTTCCTTCATTGTTTTCGTAAGAATCACAGCCACGTTGACCAATGACCTCGTTGCAGACACTGATCTTCCATTGGCCTCGAAGGGAGCCTGGGAGGAAGGTGCGGTGCGATTTTACAGTCATGATGATTCCATCGGGGTACGGATACAGTACGCACCCCAAAGGTGAGAAAAACAAACCTGCACCTTGCAATCATTACCCTAGACGGTCGTAATTATACTCTGTAGAACGCTTCGACATTAGAAGTAGTAATTGTCCATGCATGTGTCCTATCGTTGACAGACGCTCGTGATCGTCAGGAAAACGTATTTTTCAGTTATTTATTAACACGTATGTCGGGCACAGCCGGATTATCACGGACTCTGCTTCGCTCGTGCACCGGCAATCTGGTTGACCTTGGATGCTTGTCCGTGTCATTTCAGTCCGGAGGACATTGTGCCTGTAAGGTTCTTACGCTGTCCGGCCAGCCTGCCCCTCAACGTGCTTAGGAAGTTCCTGTACCAAAAATACCGCTTCTCCGAACGGCTGCAGGCAAGTGGAAAAATATGAACACCACATTGCTGCGCGTCTTTTCTTAACGTGGGTATAAATCTCCCGAAACAGTAAAGATAACCGCGATAGAAAGGGATGCTTGCATTCGGCAACGGGTTTCTCGATAGCATATGTGTTCGGAAGATGGTGGTGTATTTCTAGCTCTGAAATACTTCAGCCTTGTTCGCCGTCTGCAAACCCTTATCTACTGTCGCTGCACTGCAGCTGTAGGCCTTCAGTCAGGATTACGGCCATAAAACTGGACGTCCGGCGGAGGCGACGGTGATCTGTCCCGATTGCGGCGGGCGGTGGCGCGGCACCGAAATGACCGTTACTCGCCGTCCGCAGATAGAGCTGATCCACGGCAGGAAGGTGCTACCGCTTGATGTCACGCTGCTCGATGTCGCCTACATCGTGAACTGGACCGGGGTGAGCTGATGACTTCACTGTGCACGATTTTAGAATATTTTAATTTGATATTATGTCTTAAGCGCATGGCAATGTAGACTTCTGGTCTCAGCAGCACTGCTTGCATAAGCCGACCATAGCCACTGTGGTAACGTCCTATCCGTTTGGTTCTCAGGAAGCCCCCATGAAACTAGCATTCCGGTTGAAAATCACGGAGCTTGCCCCAAAACGTGCGGCAAGTGACCTGGAGTCGGCAGCAGATCCTTCTGCGAAAATCAGACGGCTGGATCCGTGCCGCACGTCGGCGACGGCACCGAGTTCGGAGGACACTGTTCCTAAGGCTACTGCAGGTCATACCACGAGATCGCGCAGTCATCCATCGCCCATCGTGGCGAATGACCGAAGTCGTGGCATTTCGAGTTCACGCAGCAGGGCGTCAAATCCGAAAGCCGGCGCCAAGCAGAGAGCATCCAGCATTGCGTGCAGCATAGTTCAGTCGAAGAGAAGTGACAGGCCAGATGTTTCGGTCGCTGTATCCAGCATGGGGACCAGTCGGGGTTCTGCCGGTGTGGCACCAGGAAAGCGGCCTGGAAGCAAGCCGATCGATTCTGCATCGTTACCCAGCAAAATGAGAAAGCTATCAGTTAATCAAACGACGACCAACAAGCCGAAGTCCCAGACCCACGGCCCCATTGAGGCTGATGCACCCAAAACTCTTGTTCCCGTTCACACACTGAACGCCGAACCCAAAGTCGCAACGGTGGTGCTGGCACAGAAACCCGACGGCGCGTCCAAAACCACAACAGTTCCGCCAACCGTTCACGTTGATGTGAAGCAGAAAGCCCGTTCAATTGGCAGCAGTTCCGAGCAAAATGGCGATAAGAAGCCGAAAACCCCCTCAACTGTACCACACATGAAACCAGCTGACGATGAGGCCAAGACTGCTGTTGTCGCTCGTAACAGAGAACCTTTTAAAGGACAGAGCTGCATTCCGGCCACGGCCATCCCCAACATGAAACTGCCGGTGCAGAGAGAGTCCAAGTCGGCACCCCGAGACGGCATCCTGGTAGACCAAACCTGTCGGAAGGAGAACACCCTTCAACCCAAGACTCAAACGGAGAAACAGCAAGAGCACAACCTGCTGAGAGAAAAAGTCGGGCAAAAAGAACAGGGTACCATGCGTGGGCAGGTTGAGACAAAGAAGCATTGCCAGGGGAAGCTCGACGGCAAAGATGGTGCTCTAGAGGAAGCCAGGGAATCGGGGCCCCCATGCGGCGTCACAGAATCACCAAGCAGGTCCGTGAATGCAGACGCCTCAACGAAGTTGAAGCTTCCGGTTACAAAGGTCGACTGTTCAGTCCAGACATTTCCTATCTACATGATCCGAGCCAAGCAAGACCCAGGGAAGCTCTCAAAGACAGTCACTCACGGAACAAACACGCTTCTGTCTTCATCCTATCGGGGCCAGGGTCCTCAGGCGTCGCAATCAAGCAACACAACAGCACTAAACACGTGCAATCCCGCAGGCTCTCGCCCCAAGACGAACGGTGGCAAACCATACAAAGCGATCACCTCTCAGGCGAAGTCTGTTACTAGTCTCTACCGTCCGCCTCCTGCTACCACAAGTCTATCATCAATCAGTTCCGGCTCCAAGGACCCAGAGACGATTTTCCTGATCTCGGGTGCGAAGAAGCCCCAGTGCAGCAACAAAATCATGTCAATCGTGGAATCCCTTACGCAGAGAAGCCTGACATCTCTAGCACAAAGGGGAGCCGATGGAAAGCCAAAAGAGCACAAGGGAAACGGCGGGGCTACCCCTTCCCCTCGCACGACTCCGCCGCCGACCTCCAAACCGCCCTCGTCCTCCGCCAGCAGCGGCGGCTCGTTCGTGGCGCCGGCGCCCGTATCGGCTCAGGCGTCGGGCGCGGCGGCCGGCCGCTCTGTCTCCTCGCCGCTGCACATCGAGACGGCCACGCTCGGTCTGCGCTACAGCAGCGCTGTGCCGCCGCTGGCCGGCTTGGCGCGCCCGGCGCCGGCCAGCGCACCGGCCGCCGCTCGGCCTGTGTTCCCGGTGCTGCCGCTGCCACAGCGGCCCAAGAGCCAGGGCGTGCGCAGCATCCCGAACCCGTCGCTGGTGCGGCAGCGATCGGCCGAGGAGCGTGCCCGCGACAGCAGCAAGAGCTCGCCGACGGCGGGCGCCACGGCGCCGGCCATGTCGCCGCCCTGCATCAGGGACATCCACAGCCTGACACGCCAGCTGCAGGAGGCTGGCACATCTGTTACCGTGACCGACAAGACCTAGAGGCAGTCGACTACTAAGGATCAAGCCCAAAGCCCAGATCGCCGGACCAGTACAGGGTGTGGCGCTAATAGACGTTGTAGTCAGACGTTAAACACGAACACTACGCCGCGATGACTGGCCGCGACTTTGCCAGGCTTGTCGGTTGTCACTTGCCACCGGCTGACGTGTTCGTGTTTCATATTGCAACACGTTTTACTACTAGATTTTATGTTTCGCGCACGTTTTGGTGAGGCTATCTGGTAATTGCACGTTTGTAGGGCGTTTTCCGTAACCGCTATTATCAAGTTGTGAACAGCACTGTTGAGTGGCGATTGTCTATGTATTTATTGAGCTGTGCGGTCAAGCCGTTGTGAGCTCCACGGGGAATAACTACCGCTTGGCCACGTGGCCACGTGGCCTGACCGTGAAGCACGGCACTTGCAGTGATTGTAATGAAGTACAAGATATTAGCTGTTTGGGGAGACTTCAGGCCCATTGTTTACTTTGGTTGTCAGAGTGCATGCTAATTTACCAAAGGTCTTGTTCTACTGTGCGAGAAAATGTCCAGCAGGTGAAGTTTACAGCACTTCTACATGTATAAGTCCTGGATGCGTAGGATCCGCCTTCAAGTTCAGTGCAGGGTCTACTCATTGAGTAGCTCAGTGCGCATGAGCGGTAAACGAAATATGAAAATTATCGCCAAATACATCCTTTTGGTTTGGGTTTGGTTTTCCTTCCGTGTGTTCACGATCTGGCTTAAAAATGAGCGCGAAATATCGAGTACCCTCAATATAATCGTTATTTAACGTTATAGCATCGCCTAGCCGGCACCTTACGGTATATCGAGGGTCGCTAACTCAACATGACTTTCAATTCTTCGTACCGCAAAAAAACAGGAATTGAAAGCCTCGCGTTCTCATATCATGTTAACGAAAGATCATCGTTTCCTGTAGCGATCGTTCATACGAACATTGCGATGCGATAGTGCGCCGTTGTGCAAAGAATAGCGCTATAAGCAATCCGGCATACGGCCCGCACGACGGCTTGCAATTATCGATCAGAGGTGTGATGTGCCACCGTAGGTGCAGCGTCAAATCACATCCGTCCTCGCGGGTTCTGGGGGCATGCTGAACCACTCACGCACCATCATCGGGTCTATAAATTTATTCGGGCCGACCGCGCGCCCCATCCAGCAACATTTTGGAGGCTGTGCGGCCGGCGCTGGCGACGAGACTTGAAGCTCAAGCCGCAGATAGCCCGGCACGTATTCAATGCTGCGGTGGTCGCCCAGTGCCGCGAAACAAAGCATGAGGGAAAAGCCCTGTCGTCTTCGGAGCATGACTATCGCCCCCACCCCTGGAAGGACCGCGGAGGAAGGGGGGGGGGGGGGGCGCAACAGGGCCATGCTTCTAAATAGATGTTCAACATGAAAACACTCAGTTGTCCGTCGTGCCACCTACTTAAAGGTGGCGGACGCATGCCAGCACATCGCTGGGTGACATCACGGAGGACTGTTCAGCTGAGCGGCCGCTGGCTACGATTATCGGAGCCTTGTTTTCGTGCTGTGGTGGTTACGGTGTTTTATATCAAGAGGGATCTGAGAACAAAGTGCTTGCGCCCTTGCCCGGGTGGTGAAAATTTCCGACTGCACTGATCCTTACAACGCTGCGCAGGAGCCAACGAAGACGTGGTGCAGCTGTTCCCACAGACGCTAAAACCCTGCCGCCTGACATTTTGACATCGGCTTACGTAGGTCCGCAGCCACTGTAATCTCGTATCAGCGTGTTCAGTGACGTCGAAACGGAGCTGTGCGGCAACTCCGATTTTTCCGAACAAAGCTGAAATCGTTAAGCGCATTTTATCTCCGCATTACGGAGCTTCGTCACCTGAGGACTATTTTCGTCGCAGTACGTGTAGCTCTAAACCCCTAGGGTGGAACTCTGGACAGCGGCGCTCGGCCCCGCCCAGAGAGAATCAGTGTCAGGAGCAGGGGTAGCCATACCCTCGCATTTGCCAAAGAGAGATATCTTTTGGCCCCTTAAAATTTCTGGGGGGGCCTTACGCCGACAGGGCACCCGTGATGACTTATGCGAGACATTACTCCGATTCAAAAAGAAGAAAAGCAGCAGTCAATAGCGTCCGTTGGAACTCTACGGTAAACATTGTCAGCATCAGGCCCTTTTGATCGACAAGGCGTCCTAGATATTCCGAAAGACATCTGAGGCATGGGGACCAATAAAAGACAAAAAGCCCCATCAGCCGAAGAGGAGGCCCGACTAGAAAGACTGGAGCCCTCCCCACCAAGCTAAGAGGAGGTTTTATTCAGTAATGTTTACAGAAAAAGTCCTTTTGAAAAAGCGCACGGAATCTGAGAAACCACTTTCGGATAAGAGCTGGGAAAGCTGGGTCTCAGATCTGTTAAGTAGACCCACAGATTTGCTCGCTTCCTCGGGGGGGAGTCTAGCGCCGCCGCCTCTGGTCGGCAGTGCCACGTTCGCACACCGCCCGCTAAAAAACGACGTCATGCACGGGCTGGTTCGGCGCAAACTCCGCTCCACGCCGGGCTGGTTGAGCGCGAACTCCACTCCACGCCGGAGTGGTTCAGCGCGAGCTCCACTCCACGCCGGAGTGGTTCAGCGCGAGCTCCGGTCCACGCCGTACGTTCGTCCCTGAAACCGAGCGTCGACGGAGCGCGGGTCGGGCGGGACTCATGAGGTCCAGGGGCCGCGGGTCGGGCCTCATGAGGTCCAGGTTGAACCGCACGCCCCGTCACTTTCGCCGGCCGCTGACGGGTTCGAGCGTGTGGTTCCGTCTCTGGCCGCGCGCTGCGGGTGGCCTCGCCTATGGCGTGCTGTTGCTGGTATCGCGATGCACGAGTGCACCGCATGTGCACCGAACAGGTCGGTGCTGTCCGCCACAGCTCGCCGTGCTTATCGGGTCGTGTTTGGCAGCAAAACCACGCTTGTCTGACGAGGTCTGGCTGTTGAGCAGCCGATTAAACATGGCGGCGCCCGCCAGTGACGTCATAGCCCTCGTGCTGGACGCGGCCGGAACAGTGCGGCGCACGACATGACCGGGGTGGCATCGCACGGGTGCACTGAGACCATGATCAAGGGCCAGCCTAGAGCCGCGCAGGGCGCAACAATTACGAGATTAGCTAATAACTGCATGTTTCATAAATGATGTAGGAATATGGGACGCTTTCTGAACGGGGATGCGTGGAAGCTGACCAAGAGAAGACTACACTCCAGCGATTTCTGCTGCGCCCGATCTCTGCTTTTAAGCTGACTCACGCAACTAAAAAAGTGGGCGGCCTTTTTCGTGTCGAAACAGCGTTGATCCAGCTGCATCATTTTGGCATCTGTCTATTTAGTGACCAGCAGGCACATCGTTGGGAGCCGACCTGGACGGTTGCCAAGATGGCGCACGCTAAGGCTCAACAAAGCTCTTTCAGATACAAGTGCCTGCGTTTTGCAGTGATCCTGGTGGCCAGCGTCAAAACCGTCGCCTAGCAAGGGTCGAGCGGCACGAGCAGACACAAAACGGCGCAATACGAGACACAAGATGGCGCGGGTGGGAGACACAATACGACGCAATGAGAGACACAAGACGGCGCAGTGGGAGACACAATACGGCGCAATGAGAGACACAAGACGGCGCAGTGGGAGACACATACGCGCAGTGAAGGCGCAGTGAGACACACAAGACGGCGCAGTGGGAGGCACAATACGGCGCAATGAGAGACACAAGACGGCGCAAGTGGGGAGACACAATACGGCGCAATGAGAGACACAAGACGGCCCAGTGGGAGACACAAGACGGCGCAACGAGAGACACAAGACGGGCGCAAGTAGGAAACACAAGACGGCGCAATGAGAGATACAAGACTGTGCAGTGAGAGACACAAGGAGGCGCAGTGAGAGACACAAGGCGGTGCAGCCAGTATGCATGAAGTGCGCTGAAGCGATGACAGCGATGATGCTTGCATCGCGTTGACGAGCGTACACAAATGAATGCATTTTCCTGGGCAATGTCAAAGTAAGCCAGAGAGGATCGTACTGTGCGTGTACTGTGAGTGTGTGCTCGACGGTTGAAAATCGCCCCAGTATTCGTGCTTTCGCTACAGTTATGTCAAAGAGACCCGTAAACTTGCACGCAGCCTACACATCATACTGTGCCGGCTCACTTTTAAGAGATGGTTAACGAGATCACCTCGCGTGTGCGCGGAAGAAGTCGAGAAAAGCTTCTATGTTGATTGCACCGCAAACGATGCAGCCGATTTTATACGCCACACCTATTTATTATTAATTACTTGCTTGATAATTTACGTAACACGCTTTGCGTGTGTGACAGTCGACTCGGAAGTGCATGCTAAGCAGAGCTCATTGCTTGGCTTCCGTACCCACGACCCATCTAGTTTCTTACCAGTTCGAGGGAAGCCCTCGGTCTTTGTGCCAGACACGATCGCGAGGAGTTCAGTTTCGTGCCAAACAACGCTGTGTCACGAACGTTCTATGCCAGACTGCCACTCCCTGCCCAGTTGCCACCTGGCTGCTTTGCGCGCGATGTAAACTGTACGGAAGAATCCGGCGCGGATTTTCCAGATGTTCCAAATTCTCCCGCTGAATTCACGTCACAGCTCCACTTGGACTGCTTCGGAGGCGACAAAATCCTAGCTCAGAAGTGTTTAGCGTTATTCACCAAACAATACTCTGACCTGAAATTCGGTACTGTCTTAAAAAGTCACCTAGAAAATGTACCCTGAAAAATTGCACTTCACGCATTTTGGGATCTTTGTAGGACCGGAGTGCTCTCGGAAGGGCGAAACATCTCGAAACGATTTCATTTCATTTCATTTCGCCTCGCAGCGGCCACCACCATTTTCTTTCAATTGGGAGCTGGGAAGCGATTTTGTGCGCATACATGCTGTAAAAAGTCTATCACGGGATCTAAATGGTGATGAGGAAGCCATCGTATGTGTTCCAAGGTATATGTCCAACGTTGGCAGGCATCGAGCTCGGTAAGGTTTATGTCTGAACGTACTAAACTTCGCTTACCACACGCAAGGCAGCTCCATGTTATTGCATCGATGTCCATCAACCTGCTGGTTTGAGTTGCATATAAGCAGGAAACTCCAACTTCGTCAGCGACGAGGCCACGCGATAAAACGAGGCAATATTACGCGATATTAAGCTAACTGCGTTTATTATCCTGGATGCTGAAGGTATGTAATATGCCATGTGAGGGTAGAACCTGTATGGTCATGAGTTCCAACCTAAATGCTGACCTTAAACATGGGTGTCCTTTGTCTTAGTACAAATGTCGGCTTGTTTACGGTTAGCTAGACCTGCTATGGTTGTCAAAATGTTAACTGGTTCATCGTGCATCATGCACACAAAAAATTGTCTAGCTAGGCCTAGTTCTTTGTAGCGTACAGAAAAGTACGCACTTTAAATTAAGTTACATACCTACATGGCATTAATGCGGAGCTCAAGGGGATGAGACGCTTCAAAAACACCCCGTTACGTTTTTTTAGAGGGAATAGGAAATACTTATTTCCGATTTTTCTGACTCCGACAAATTCAAACACCGAAATTTTTGTCAACCTTATTTGCTGTTTTCGTTCCTGAGAATACGGACCAAGATACTGTCATAAAAACATGATGAGGTGCCGCCGTGAAGTACCCATATTTT